ATAATTAAAAAAATAATATAATTATATATATATATATTATAATTGAAAACGTGATATTTATAACTTATCACTTTTTAAAATATTTATATCTAAAAATATTATTAAATAGATATAAAATTAAAAAAATAAATTATAGAATTCGATAATATCAAGAAACAATAATAATAAAAATTTAAGTGTTATACTTATTTGATAAATACCTTTTTTATTATAATAAATATGACCTACTCAAATTATTATTAATAATAATTTTTATTTTTTTTAGATTTATTTCATCAAAATATATTAAAAATATTAATGATATTGTAATAGTATTTTATATGTATACAAAATTCTTTTTTTCCCTCCTTTTTCTCCAATACCCATTTAATAATTTTGTTATGTTGCTATTTAGAATAATGTCAAACTATAAAAATTGTATTTTTCAATCAAAAAATATATAAATTGTGTTATTTCAAAAATAAATAAATAAATTATACTATTCTACCAATATTTTTTAATTTAAAGTGCTAATTGTTTTTTTTAAATGATTTTTTGTGTGGCGCCATCATGTTTTGTGTGGAGAGAAAAATCTTTCCAGTGGTTTTTATAAAATATTTCTTTTGGTTCTCTCAAGAACAATGGTCTTGCAGTTTTACTTGTTCTTTGTGATAATAAATTTACCAATATTTTGGCATGAGGCTGGTTTTATACTGGCGTGATCTGATTGGTCATGTGTCTATTAAAAATTTGATTTTTTTTGTATATTTTAATTGCTCTAATGTAATGATTTTAAAAAATAAATATTATTTTAATATATTTTTAAATAAACTACACTTTAAAAAATAATTTTCAAGCTACTTTTCAGTACACCTCCACCATCATCGAATCCTTAAAACACTTACCTCGACGTCTATGTATAAAAAGTCAGAGAATAAAGCATACATCTCCAATCATCAAACTAGCCATTTAAAATTACAAATGACTTGAATTAAAAATAAAAGGTTGTTATAAAATTGAGCTGAGATTAATAAAAGGTTATTTATCAATCAATAAATAATTATAATATTAATATTACTAATCATAAATATGTTTTCCTATACCACCGCTATCTATTAATAATTAAGTATATTCATAAGTAATCATAATAGTATGATTCTTGTTAATTATATCTAGCTATTCTGCTGTATATTCAAATATCCGGGGTGGAGAGGAAATATTATTTACATGAATTATTTTTTTGACGGGTCCTTCAGAAATTTTTTGTTCATTTCCATTTTTTTTGTTGGGTACTTTTACTTTTTATTTAATAATTGTAATTCTGTTTTTGTAAAATTAACCATAGTTATACCATGAAATAACAATTGCAATAATAAACACCTGAGAAATTCAAGATAAAAAAATTATAAGAATATTGAAGATGCAATATAGAAAAAAAAACACAATCAAGTATATTTTTAATAATTACCCATAATGTTTTTTATTTTTTTTTACTTAATTTTTTTTTCATTTTTATTTTAATCCTTTTATATTGAATTGATTTGAAATTGAAATTCATTATTTTTTAATTTGTTTTATATAAAGCTCTCAAACCAATTAAAATTTTTAAACTTCAATTCTAAACTAAAATAAATACTCGACTTTAAAAAAAAATTATTTCAACTTCTCAACTTAATATTTAAATGAATTCAATTTATTTACTATCATTTATTAATTAATGTATATAATTTTTAATTTATTTTATTGAATGCATGTATAAATTTTTTAATGGGCAGCTAAATTTTTTCTTGATGATAGTAAGATATTAATAACGGCTGCACTTCTATTTGATGTTGAGGAAAAAACGCGTCATCCACACCAGGATAACACATACAATTAAAGTAGTTATTGTTTAAATAATTATGTAACTTTTGTTCTGATTTAAACAAAAATTATTAATAATTTTTTTTATATTTATACATGAACCAAAACTAATTGTGTATTTAGAAGTGTAGTTATAATTATTTTTAAAAATATTTTTTACTCAAAAAAATATAAAATAATATTTTTTATTTTTTAAAAATTATTTTTAAAATTAGCACATTAAAATAACTTGAAAATATCAAAAATATATTAATTTTTTAAAAAATAAATTAAAAAAAAAACATTTTTAAAAGACAATGTCATATCCTCTAAGACACGTATATTTAGAGAAACTTAATAAATTCTCTAAGCGTAAACCCAAGGTTTGAATCTAATGCTTCTTTATATAGTTAAATGGTTCATGTTAACGAAAGTTTTAAGGTAAGGTCATATCCTTTATTCAATCCCGACTTGATTCTCAAATGGACTGATCTTGACCTATAGCATCTTTAACCTAATCTTTGTCTGGCTCCAAGCATTTGGGTATTAATTTAAGGATATTTTTATTCAAGAATATGATAGATATTATTTTTAAATTATTTTTTATTTATAAATATATTAAAATAAAAAAGGTTTTTAAATTACAATGCCAAACAGAATATAAAATCCATTCCCAACTTGAACTCGAAACTCTTCCAACCTGGCAATGATGACCTTTAAGTCTCTGGATCCAATCCCTGCATGAACCTCAAAGATCCTAGTTTCAATCTCGGCTCATTCCGTGAGTGCTAGAGACTCGATCCCAAGCCATCCCGTTAACATCCCAAACTAGGCTAATAATTGAATCATGATCTAACTATGGTGCTGTGGTCGAGTTATATATTTTAGTTTTTTTTAATTTTAAATTAATATTTTTTTATATTTTTAAATTATTTTAATATATTTTTAAACAAAAAAAACACTTTAAAAATCAATCTAAATCATATTCTCTCGAACCGCACTAAATCATAGGTTACTAGTGTAAAAAACAAGTTTTGAAAGCTTTAAAAAATCACTCCCTAGGGTTTTCAAAAGTCTTGAAAACCAGTGTCATTTCTCATTTATTGAAAATAAAAAATAAAAAGTTTTCTTGACTTATTTAAATATGTTTTGAAAACAAAAATGACACCAAACAATCCCTTAACTAATCATGTTTGCTTTCGCCTACCTGAAATAAGAAACAAAGATGGTAAAAGCAAGCCAAGAGCAGCTAAAATAAGAAGGAATGCTCCAAAATGATAACAGGAGAGTACAATTTCCAGGTCTACAACATAGAGGAAAACATTTCCGTTTTGAAGACTTGGCTGCTGTGAATTTGAACTGAACTGCGACTTGAGAAAGTTTCACCGTAAAGCTACAAACCCATAAGATGATAAGATGGAGCACTTAGATGCAAGAAATCTTCTCATAAAAGAGTATACTTTACATTGCTACTACAACACGAATGGGGTTTTTTCTTTCTTTTCTTTTTCCATGTTCGAGTGGTGGTGGAGAGAGGTGTTTGAACGGTGACTTGAGAAATTTATCTTACGAGGGCCAATTTCTATACCAACCAGCCCACGCGGAGACCAACCCGCTAACACCAAGAGTAACAGCATGGTTGCAAAATGGGTTGGGCTCAATATCTGCCAGAGCAATAATGAAGTCCGCAACGTTAGCCGCGACGGCCATCAACCTCATCACTCTGTCTGCTCTGATCTTCCTTAGGCTCTCTGTCGCATCCTTTGAAGTATCTTCTTTAGAAGAAATTAAGAGCCTCCTCTCTTCTTCTAGTCCTTGTTTTATTATAATAAAATCAGCTATAATGAAAAATATATAGCCAAAAGACTCACCAAATGCTGAAATGAAGCTCATCCTCCCGGCCAACTTTGCGTCCAAAGTGCCAATTCTTGATAGCCAAAGAAAATGGTCGAAAAAGAAATAGACCATTTCTCCTGCATTAGCAAGAACAGCTAGGATCTTAAACGTTGGGGTTGAGCCAGGGCCTCTTCTAAGAGCATTGAAGCCGGTGAGAAACCTGCCGGTTCTAAAGGCTTTCCTGCCAAGGCCAGAAGCAACTTCCCATTGCTTGAATCTCTCTGCAACGTCTGGATGGGTGGCTTCTACCTGCCAGCGAACAAGCTTCGACACGTACTGGAAAGTCTTGACTAGCTTATCTATACCATCTCTCTTTGCTAGGAAGATGACCAGCTTGTCCACTGTGTCATTCATGGTTGAAGTGCTCCAATGGCTGCTGTTGGTGTTAGTGATGAATTTGATGAAAAGTTATTCATTTGCTTTCTTGGCAGGGTTTGGGAGCTACGAAAAACTAAAAACGAGAGCCACATATAAATTCGTTTATGGATAAATACTGTAAGGTGTACAAGCGGTTGGACTTGTCTTTCTCCCCCTTACCTTGTTAGTTTTCTTGTGTTAGTAATGTTCTTGTATGCTATCTAGTTGGAGGCCCTCTGTCTTGTGTAGAATGAAATCTTCTGTTGACTGTTGCATGTTGCATAATTACAATAATGGCGATGATTTAATTCGGTCATACCGGACTTTGTGAGGTAGAACCCTAACGTATTCGTCGCCTCTCCCACGAAGAAATAAATGGAAAAACAGAGGTAATGGATAAAAGCCCTCTACAACACGAGCTAAAATGAACTTTCCTAGTAAACAGAGTCCAGTAACTACCACCTTTTTTCGTGACAAACTTATTTGTATGGCACCGAGTAGCTTATACTCAGCTGAAAGACGCGCAAACTTGCAGAATCATCTAACATAATGGAGCTGGCAATTATTTGTGCAGATTAATTGGCAATTCCATGGACAATTTTGGCCGAAGCTGAAGAAATCACTGTCTGAATTCCCTTCAGACTACTGATAGGTGTAAATAAAATTTTGTTTCTTACATTCGAGTCCACCTGTTATAGTTATGCGCGGCTGTCACAAATCTCAACGAAAGACAAATGAAATGCGATGCGCCAGCAAGGGCTAGAGCATGCAGCCATTAGCAACAGCTTATTACGACCTTCCATCATGCAAAAGGAACTTCAACAAATGATGAAGCTGCTTACAAGTGACAAATGATAAATAACTTGCGTCCTACACTTTTCAATTTAAAAAAATAAAAAACCCCCAACAAATCATGGACAAGCTCAAGCAGAAAGTTGTACAAGGGATTGTATTGATCATAAGCTTTCGGAATGATATGACGCTTGGAAAATGAAACAAAATCCATATGCTAGAATTACAACATTAGTTTAGTCCAAGCAATGCAAGGTCGCAAAACTTTCCAACCGCAAATTGTCATTACAAATTTTCCACTGACATTGTTCAATTTCAATAAGATGGCAACAGCCAGATTTTAATATCCCATTCCCATGCACAAAACATCCCCAAATCACATCAGGTCCTTACTTACCCCCGGCAACTCTGCCATCCAAGTTCTCAACCGATTACATGTCTTTCCTGCAGGCTGGAACAGAAATACGCTATTTGATATATCATATAGATTTAAGTTACCTCGAGGTACCGCACCATTTCAAGTTAAAGTGCATCCGATTCCAGTCCACTGAAGTAGATTTTCAAGCAAGCATACAAAAAATACTGTTCAAGCAATTGAGTTTTTTAGGAGACATCTGAGCTCTAAAAAATACTGTAAAGGGCAGTTACCTATACTTGGCCGGTCCTGGCTTTTGAAATTTTTACTCCGAAGGCACGCACTATGTAAAACAAAAAACCTGCTATCCCATGAAACTGAGTAGTTAAGGTTTCCTGGTCATCCACCCACCCAAAAACACAATCTACTGGCCTCAAAGACTGCCTATTTATTTGCAAAGCGCTCACACCACTCAGTCACTTTGAGTTTCATGTGACAATGGCAAAGGCAAAATAAATGGGGATTTGAGCTTTCCTACCTACTAGATCATCAATGAACTAACAATGAAATGCAAGCTCACTTGAAATGGGACATGGTTAATAGCACCAGGGCTTGCGATTCCCAAATTTCTTTCCCTGTCTAATTAACCAAGCAGCGGTTGCAATAAAAAATAGTCCAACTTTGGGTTTCTGGAAAAAAAAAGTCTATGATAAGGAGAGGTCTGCCTATCGACGCGAGTTGTTAGAAAATAAGATTTATTTGTTACCTAGAGATTGAGACATTAAACCATCATCAGTATCAGCAGCAGTGCCACTCAAGCACATATTTTGAATCTGTCCTCTTAAGTACATGAGAACATCAATGAAGAAAGATAGAAGACAAATACTAGATTCTGAAGCAATGCTACAGAGACAAATGCATAAAAAAAATATAGTTCAACCATAAAGTAGTCACAAAAGCATTAAGTAATACCTACCTCCACCCTTTTCTCCTCTAAAAATATTTGATGAAAGAGAGGTAAACTCTCAATAAAGCTGTGAGATAACAAGAAAAAATTCACTCATGATGACAATTGATGTGAGACTCCAAAAGCACATGTTTATGAAACTTTGAGATTAAAAATGTCTACCTCATGATTTTAAACTCAGATATATATCAACATAATCCTCTAATATGGGCGAACTGGACTTCTAGGTGACCTCCCGCGATCATGCCTAACAGGGGAATGTGACCTGCTCCGATCACGGTGCCTATCCTTCCCATCATCTCTTCCATTCCTAGTCCTCCAATCACCTCGACTGCCCCTACCATTCCAGTTCCTTGACCTATCACGATCTCGGTCCCGCTCCCTTTCTCTATACCGATCCCTATCACCTGAATCACTCCTCCTACTACTACTCTCATATTCTTTCTCCCTCAGTTTCCTCCGCTCTCTGGCTTCCTTTTCCCTTGCTAGTCTTTCCTCTTCCCTTGCCTTCTCCTTAGCTTCCTGCAATTTGTATTCCACATTCTCAGTTGACTAAAAAGAAACAAACATGTTGCATGATGGATTAATACAAAGTGCAACTCACCTTGTACTCGGTGATATAATCCCGGACCATCCCATATCCAATGTGCTGCTTCCCCGTGACATGAGACTGAGTTCTCTCTGCAGCATCATTCGCAACTAGAAAAGAACCACAAATCTCACACAAAGCCATCTTTTTCTCCTGTGGAACCACCAATACTTTATCATTCTGGGATTGAATCAGTGCTTTCTCAGCATTAAGTTCGTCCACCTGTTAGAAGAGTCACCAAATGTCATATTTCAGAGGGGGGAAAATGTAAAGAGCAACACAATATCACACTTTCAAGAAGGAACTGCAACTTAAAGCACGAAAGCATTGTTTTATCTCTTTGTTATTTTCACATGTGCTAGGGAACTATAGGAAACAAATAAAGTCATAGCACCTTTTTCATAAGGGCTTGAGCTTCATCCACCTTCCCAACTTCACCGAGGGCTTCCACTTGCACCAGTAGGTTTTTTATTCTCTCTTCCACCACAGATAACCGTTCAGACTTGTCAGCTGACAGCGGAGGAGGTGCTATTGGTTCATCCCCTTGAGCTAGGCGTTCTCGTCCACGCCTAACTCTTCTATCCAATTCCAACACCTATGGAAGAAAAGGATCACATGGAAACATGTAAAATTACATATCACAGATAACAAGCAACCAAACAAATAGAAGTAAGAGACCTACCAATTTCTCACATCTCAGAGCAAGTTCAGCTTCAAATTTGGCCAGATATGCATCATGTCTTGGGGACCTCTCAAAGCTAAAGTAAGAAAATCATTAAAAAAAATCCATTAGACCATGTTTGAGCACATATGCAGAGAGCATATGTAAATTCTGGTGAGGAAGACCAACCAAACTTTGATAGAACACCTAAGTTGGATCTATCATGCACTGCGAGCACAAGCATCAAAACAAAATAAAACCAAAAGGCTTTATGCAAAAATCACTGACACTGCAGACTAATTTGAACCGGAAAAATCATGCTCCTCTTCTTACAAGGACATGCTGAACAGTTTAGTTCAGTTACATCAAGTAGAAAAAACAGCACACCAACAGTGTTCTGCAAATAAAAGATACATCTTTTGTTGCACATATGAAGCGGTTAGTCTCATATAAACAAGCAAATTAATAACTAACAGATCAGCATCAAGAAGTAGTTAGTTTAACAAACATATTGAAATCAAATGACATGACACAGAGCTCAACAATTAAGAAGAAACATAACATTTGACAAGTTCCTGCTAGAAATCAACAATCATTCTTCTGATTTCAGGCACTAGGCCCAAGGGAACTCGTAGTCAGTAACACACCAGAAATAGAACGCAGCAATTTCATAGCATTGGCAATCAAAATAAAATTTCCAGACCTACCTTTCTTTCAACTTTGGATCATGCACTCTATCACATGGTCCTGGCGGCGAAAACAACAAGAACAAAAGGCAATTAGAGAAAGATATCAAAAAATCACCAAAAGACAACTCAGACACAGATATACCAAGAGTTTAATACAAGCTGGAATTAACAGAACCCAATCAAAATTGATCAAATAAAGCTAAAAATAACTTACCAAGATCACTCTTGGTGTTGACAAAGAGGTCATGGGGACAAAATCGGGCCATGTAATAGGCACAAACCTCCTTTGAATCCCATGTTATTTCCTTGTAGTCTTTTCTCTCTTCCTCCGTCAAATTACGATCTTTAACAAAACAAACAAGCCCAGATTTCTAAACAAATTAACAGCGCCGTACAATCAATCAAATAATCAAAGATTTGTAAATCTGAAAGAATTCGAATAAGAAATTAGGTTTTAATTACCTGCACCCATGAGTTCATCTAGCATAGCGCGTTGAAGGTCCATGAGTTGTTGATGGTGGGAATTGGGCTAATTAACAGAAATTTATTTTCTTTTAAAGCAAAATAAAAGAGATTACGTTGAATGGTTTATAAATTTTTTTAGGGTTTTTCTGAAGATTGAAGTTGAATTCCAATTTTTAGGGTTTGGTTTTGAAGTTTGATGGGAATGTTATGATATATGTTTGGGTGACGATGGAGTGGGGGTGCCTTTGAGCTTTGATGCCTTACTTCAGATTGGGGACAAGTATAGTATATCCCTGTTCTGGTTTAAGGAAATTATTCTCTCCCTTTTGTTTCTGTTTCTGATGTTTAGAATTGCGGCAAATATTATTGTATTTTAAAGTATTTTTTTAATATATTAAAATAGTATTTAATTTTTTAAAATTATTTTTATATTAGTATATTCAAACAATTTTAAAAAATTAATTTAAAACAAAAATATTAAATTTTAATAAAAAAAACATATTTAACCTTAACACCGAGTACTTAAAAGATATTGTTTTTTTATTCTATGCTACCTCTTAAAGTCAATTAATATTTTCCTTCCATCTCATAAAATCAACTAACAGATTACCTACACATTATGTGGCATCACATAAATTTTAAAAATTACAGTGAAAACTAGCGGTAAATATGGACTAGAAAAAAAACACAAAATACTAATAATAATTAAAAAAAAGAGTTAAAAACAGACTTGTTATGAATTTAATAATCGTGGACAACTAATAACTTAATTCCAAGAGTTTGAATTATAAAAATAAAATAAAATATTATCTTAATCAAGATAAATCTTCAACGCCAGAAAGGAAAAAAAGATAAGTATTTAAAATTTATTCAAAATTGTGAGATATATATATTCATATAATCTTATGTAAATATAAGAATATTATTGTTCAAAAAATAATTAATCTGGAGAAAAAGTATATCTATATATTCATCAAATTCACAATGAATTCAAATTGCACAGCTTAGGGTGATATAATAATTGGTTCAGATTAAAAATAATTAGCTATGCTTTTCTTTTCTTTTTCACTGCATTAATTGGTTTAGATTCTTAAACTACTAACAATATATATATATATATATATATATATATATATATATATAATGGGATAAAAATCACTACGTTTTTCTTTTGTTTTACTCTAGTGGAGTACATTTCATTCCATAAAGAGGCCAAGCTCAGAATCACAAAGCTTGTATTATACTATATAGGTTACTCGTCATCCTCCAAAGTTTTTTATTATTGAAAAAATATTTAAACAACATATATATTATTAAGAAAATAAAAAAAATTAAGACCTATATTATTAACTTGGTTAAATTTAATAAATTTAGTTAATTTAATAATATAATTTAAAAATAAATTTATTGATAATAAATAAAACAAACAAAAAAATAACAATAACTATCAATAAAAAATAAACTGTAATAATATTTGGAAGGAGAAGAGAAAAAAGACTAATAGAGACTAAGTCTCTCCATCATATATTTTTTGACATATAATTTGTTTTATTATTTTTTATCTTGAAATGCTTTCAAAATAAATCTTGCCATAGCATATAAAATAATTTTAAAAAATTAATTTATCCCACGTGTCATCGTATATGTGTTGGTGATTGGAAATTTGGTTTTGATGGAAATCACTAGAAGCATAGTAATTAGATTTGGCTCAAGGCTGGGTTGGGTCACGGGTCTAGAGAAGGTTCATTCCCTCCCTAGACAAACTCAATAATTTTAGGTATCTTTAATGGCTTGGCATGGGGATATCCAAGAAGCTCCCCAAACCAACCGCCACCATAATGAAAATTGGCAGCTTTTTTGCTAACCGTTATATAATCATGAAAGAACAGTAAAGAATACACTTGCAGAGTGAAGGCAACATACATGCAACAATGCGTATAAAAAGGCAGGGGCAACAACTTAATCTTCTGAGATGGTATGATTCAGTTGAACTACTGTTTATTTCAACATCAAGATTTCCGGCGAGGGAGATTCTAATCTAAACTCACACGGCGGATTTTACACACGAGATTTGCCGTTGAAAGATCTAGCTGGTTCCCTGAATCTGATTTCACAAGTTGCTTCAGCTGGTCTCTTGGGGTCGATAGGCAAGTGTGGAATGTTGCAAGGATTGGAGGAATTGGCATCGATAAAGCAGAAAGTACATTACTCAGGTATTCAATATCGACAGATAGTTGTTGCGCGCCACGATCTGTTATATACTGAATACCCCGCAACTGCTCCATGTAAAGAGCAGTGGCACCTTCCGCAACCTGTAATATGGCAACAACAATGTACCCCATCGAACTGGTTATATAAATTTGCACAACATCAGAAATTAAAATCCGGCTAAGAGAACGGTAGTCTACTAAGAACTAAGCTTCTGAAGGACTTCCAAGTACTGTAATAAAGAACAAGTGCGTTTTGCATGCTTTTTCCAGGTAACAACCATTTTTTCTTTTTCAGTTTAGCCATAAGCTAATCATATTAAAGACCTTTACTATTTTGCTGACAAATTCTTTCCTTTTTTTCTTTCGTTGTATTTCATGTTTTCTGGCAAGTAGATTCCAAATTGAACACTCTAACCCCAACTCATCCTCTAAACCTTGAAAACTAGACCAATGGCATCACTGGGATGAGGTAATCTATGTTACCAAAGAAATTTATTTCAAGTCCCGTACTTCTAAAACTAAGAAAATGACCACAGTGAATCTTCAGGAATTTAAGATCAGGTAACCTTTACCAAAACCAAAAGGAGAATAAACTTGGTCAGCTGGTCATCAGGCCTTCTCAGTTTCTAAATTGGCACATGCATATCTTAGTTGGGTCAAAATTGACTCCTGTTCCTTTTTAATTGCAATTCAAGCACTCAGAAAATATGAAAACAAAAGGCCGTGGCTTTATCCTTATGATATAAAGTGGTTACCTTGAACATCCATTCGGTTGCAAAAAACTGTGCTTCATCATTGTTGGCATCATTATTAGATATGCCATCAGCAAGAGGCTCCAACTGCTGGGGTAAGGTAAGGAGATATTCGCCAACACTGGTTACATATGACTGAGGGTATGCACTGAAGGTTGGGAGACGGAAAGAACTATGTTCATCAACTGCAGACCAAATTGGCAAACGAGATACATCACTGAGGCGCTGTCGTACTTTAGATATGAGGACATCATAAACAAGTTCATTCACTGCATCAGCAAATGCTGAAACTCTCTGCGATGCCAGTGGAAGTGCATGAAAGCGGGGATCTTTGGACTGCAATACAGCATGAGAATGTCAGTATTACAGAGTTTAAGAAAAAATGAAATGGCAAGGAAACATGTATTTAAAGTAAACAGAAAGTTTCACTGGATGGCAAATTGATAGTCTAGAAAACCAAGAAAATCACTGCAGAAATTTATTTCAAGGCCCAGCAGCATGAACTCTGTCATTTTCCCAAATGAGGAGTAAACAGGTCCTATATTTTATGTACCTGATCTAAAAGGTTAAATAGTTTCCGAGCCTTCTCAGGAGCATCAACAAGTCGTACAACTGCCACATCCAAGGCAGCTCGTTGTCCCAAGGATGGCTCACCATTTCCATCAATAATGGTCATGTGAGACTGTTTTTGGTCCAAACTTGATCCAAATACTGAAAAAGACAAACTTGTGCTTATTCTAGCTAGAGTGGATCTCAAGGAAGCTTCAAAGACAGAAGACCTGCTTGTTAGACAATCTGCAACTGTGAGTATCTGTAAGGCCCCTTGAACAATGGACCATTCCTCTTCATTCGAGACCATGTCAACTTTGCGTGCATTTTGACTCCCTTCTTTTTTCTCCAAACTTGTGTCTTTCTTTGGATCAACTATGTTATCTACACCACTCACAGCTCTTAAGGATTTGAGCGTTTCTTGAAGCAAAGAAATGTACTGTAACATTATATCATCAAGTGCAAGAACTAGTTCATCTGCTTCGGAACCACCAGTAAAGCTGATGCACCTTTCTACAGCTGCTTCAAGAAGAACAATGACATGGGGAGTAGACTCTTCCATTCTCCGAACTGTTTCACTCAATTCGATGCCCTGGGCTCCCACACCCCGTGTAACAGCTCCCCTTAGATCAGCCCCTGCAATCTCAGAAGAGAGGATGGCACGCTCCATCTGTCCATACCTGCAATACATCCAGTCAGTAGTCAACTAATGGAAGACAATGGTCTATGCCACATTTAAAAACCAGGAAAGAGAAGAAAACAGAGGTCAGCAGTTAATTGAGCATATTAAAACAGATAGCAGCAAAATCCCCAGTAATTTATCACAATAACTGAATTGTTAGTGGTCATAATGGGCATCAAAATAACTGAAACCTTATCAGCAACCCAACTAAAACACAAATCACCTTAAAACCAAATTTATCATGAGCTGAAACTGAAAGTAATAGATTAACTTGACAATTATGTAATTCTATTAGACTTGCTAAGTTTACACGATGGCACTTTCTTCTATCACAATCATGTAAATTGATTAGGGTAAGTGAGCTCACAACATCTTTACTGAATTAAGTGATGCAGAACCTATATTCCCCTTCCAGTCATGAAAATGAATGTTTGAGGGATGTTCATGGATATAGCGGGTCAAGTTTTGATCCATAATTGTATTCAATTCACCTTCTAATATTTTACATAATATAAACCTGACTCATTCAAAAAAAATTTGGACCCAAGCAGGAGCAGGTTGGATGTATCGGGTTGGGATAAATTTTTTGTAGATATTTCAGATATCCGTGAATTGGGCATATTAATTCTCTTATTATTCGACGATCCTAAAAAAAAGTATTGGATTGTAATTGTTGGAACTAAATAAGACCTCTAAAATGCATATATTAGAAACAACATAAAAACTATCACAATTTCCATATAAAGACAAAACAAAAATCACACATATAAAAACAAAACAAAAATCACAGTCAAACATTTTATCAAACAGTTAGGGTACAATATATACCAAGACAGACCAGCAGGAAGAAACTAAAACGTGCTTTTGGGTTTATGATTTGACTAAGAAAATAAAAGTTCAATCTGGATTCTTGAAATTTTCATTTGTTTTCTCATAGCCTTTTGATTACCAAACAAAAAAGATAAGAATTGTAAATTACACGTCACTTCATCATATCAAACTTTAAAATGAGCAACTATAATTTACGTGAAAGTGGAGAATAGAGAGAAGGGAAAGATTATTTTCCGTGACGGTGTAGAATAGAGAGAGGGGAAAGAGATTAAGAGAATGAGAGGTGGTTGTGATTGTGAAGGCCTGAGAGGAAAAAAATGATGAGATTGAAGGAAAACAGATGAGCCAGTTTTTTTTAACATTCCTATGTTTGTTAACAACACTTTCTTGTCTCTAAAATGGTCAAACCCCCTCTTCACTACTATGAGAATTGTCAGCAGACTTTTAGGAGAAACAGAAGACCTCATTATTCAGCAAACTAAACATGTTGACTTTCTGAGCAAGAAAAGGTCCTCGTGCCATGAACCCAATAAAGCTATACTATAAGCAAAAGATTAAACTAAGAAATCAATCAACCAAAATGGAGCATCTAGTTTAGTTGATTGTTACCTCTGTTTAAAAGATTCATAAGGAAGGTAGACTGCCTTCAGCGTATCCATTAAAACTCGGAGATCAGATTCTGAAAATAAGTGCTGAACATTCCTTGCAAAGGTGGCTGTCATGTTGTGCAATTCAATCAAAGCCTCAAGATGCTTAGCCTGGATATTGATGCCCTTGGGCATATCTCCAGATAAAATATCCAATATACCTGCATTTACAAATAGAAATGGAAGGATGCACAACAAATATTTGAAAATCAAAATTTAACCTCAGCATATTTTCAAAATAATATTAAAACAAAAACAAAATAACATGAAATGAAGTTGCCATATGTTCTCTTTTTACTTTTCTGCAATGCTTACCAGATCAAATTTACCGTTTATTTTTCTTTTGTTGATTCATAAGAAGGCATGGCGGGATAGCACACTCCCTCCCCCACCCCACACACACAGACACACACTAAAACCCTTAAACCCAATTCCAACAGATCATGGTTATAGCTCAATTACCAATTTCAAAACATCAGAGCATCCTCTAAGACAATCAACTACTTCCCCCAATGAAATGGAGAAATTTAAAAGCCTAAATCAACAATCACGTTAACCCAAACAAGGTAGCAATAACCTGGAAATACACATAGAATGTGAATAACCTAGTTTTTGTTGTTTCAGGTGCTTGAGCCCGATGGCATTAAACCATGCAAAGCAATATGATTAAAGATGTCAAACTCAAAGGATGTAAGATTAAACCTTTGGCAAGTGTTTTTGTCTCAGGGACAACATCTCCAGTGGCAAGATTGATACGGGAAATAAAACTTGCCCCCAGAGCTGCCATTGTCTCAATTAGTAGCTTCGGCACAAGAGTTCTATAGTCCTCAGGAAAAGCAATTGTACACCTGCAGACAATGGTTTTAACTACAAATTGATATCATTTGAAATAAGGCAATGATTAATCATTACAGATGATGGCACCTAACTTTTTGAGACAACAACCATGGTTCCAAAGCCACTTAAAAATGCATTTCACTTAAAAATCCAAAGAGAACAAACTTTCCTGAGAAAATAGAATGCAAGAAATGCACAATCAAATGTTATCCTAAAACTATGTAACTGCCTTCATACTGTTTAGTTTTGGTTTTACATACTGAATCAAATATTCTAGCCTCCTATGCATGCATTCATTCACCAGGACACAAAGACATCAGTTACTATTGATCCTTTCTCAACACCACTATTCTGAAGCAAGTAAGCAACTTAATGTTGGGACAGCTGTATCAGAAATTGACAGAATTAAGATGATCTTAACATTACTTATTCACCTCTTTCATACATTAATGGTCCTATGACAGATGATCCATTCACCATGAAATTTTTTAGTTTTAAAAATATGTATTCCTAGACAATCTATAATTTTGGAAAGATTAAAATGTAATACCACTTCCATTCTTGCTCAAGATAGAGCAGCAATTCATCATAGAAACTCGGCAGCCAACTTGCAAATGAAATTGCCTGTGAATCATTGCTGCCTGATAGCCTATCCATCTCATTTCTCTCACTTGCAAGCTTATTAGCATGTTGCCTGGTTTCAAAATCTTCCCATAGCTGTCTTAAAGGCTTTAGATGAACTTTGGTATAATGCATCTCTAGAGACTTAAATCTCCCAATTCGCATCAGAATTCCCCTCAAATCTTGAGCAACATCAACCTGCATCAAAGCAAATGTACAAGCACACAATTCAGTAATCAAGACAAAGCAACTACAGCTACCAAAACAAGATTCTGTATTTGTATCTTACCTTGCGATTAGATAGTGCATCCATTAAGCGAGGCTGTACCATTGAATCTAACCTATCCTCTAAAACCTCGAGTTGCTTCCTCACATTAGCAAATTCAGCGACCTAGAAACATACAAAATGATTTCATTTCCAATTTCAAAAAGCACAACCTAAAAAACTTGAACAAATAAAACCCAGATCAGCAAAAATCATTACCTCGCCAACAGCAGATAAGCAATGCCTCATATTAGCCAATGTTTCCGCAGCACGAGGAAGATCACCGCTAGCAAACACATCCTCCACTGTGGAACTCAATTGCGTTAACCCCGCCGCATCCTATTTTAATCAAAATTCAAATTAACAAAACACAAAAATCACATTCAACACCTTATAATAATAATCAAATTCTCCTAGTAAGACACGAATCTTTTTAAAATTTAACCTGCAAGGTCTCGTAAGCAGCTTCCATTCTCTGCTTTACAGTATCAACTTTCGCAAGTGCCGCTATAGATTCCGCCGATGTTCCCTCTGCCTAAATGTATGAACATTTAAATCGGACTGTGTTAATTAATCATGATTTTTAATTTTTCTTTAGATCTAAACAAAAACTGGGAGCCTTGAGAGGAGCTGACCTTTTTGAGCTTTTGGAGGATGGAAGAGACAGAAGTGCGAAGAGAAACAGCGTCGTCACGAAGACGAACGACATCGCGAGTGGCGCGAGGGACACGGAGGAGAGCGGCGGCGCTCTGTTCCTCAAGAGAAGCAGCGATCTCTTCGGATACCATCTGGAGTTTCATTTCGAGATCCACCAAGTGTTTGTCGAGTGATTCTTGTGGGTGCCGGGTCTTGCAAGCGGAGTTTATCCATTTTTTCGGGTCGAATTTATCGTCTGAGAACGGACCTAGATCTAACATTGAGTTTTTGGAGTTGATCAGTGAGTAGGAATGAAATGAAAGAGTCTCTGTCTGTTGCTGCTGCTGCTGCCTACTGGTGGTAATGGATGCGTCTAACGGACGTTTTGGATCACTCGGAGATTTTAGAGGTTTTCTGGGGGTGGCATTTCAAATATTGAAAGAAGGATTCGATGGCTATTGACAGTTTTAATATTAGCACATTTAAATCTAAAATTTTTAAGAAAAACAATACAGAATTTGATATATAAATATACACTGCACTGTTGAACGAGCACATGTCAAGTCAGTTTATTTTACAAAAATATTTAACAAATTATTTTGTATTGTGATAATGGGTATTTAAGTAATATACCTTGTAATAAGATTTTGAAATGAAAAATAAAACGCATAAAAAAAGAGTGAGTTTTGTGTGTGTGTGTGTGTATAGTTATGAAATTTGATCTAGAATTAATAAAGATGAGTTTCAAGTTATATCAGCTCAATTTAACTTGAAAATTTTTAAAAACATATTTAATATTTTAATATTTTATATAAAAAAGTTAACAAACACTTTATACAAATATAAACTATATTTGTTATAAATAATAGAGTTCAAAAAAAAATTTAAATGTTTTTTATATCATATTTAAAAAATATTATATTATTATTTTAATTTAAAGTATTTAAACTAAATTTTTTATTTTTCATTTAAAATATAATTTTTTTATGAATATAAAATATACATATTAAAGAACTTCATACCCTATATTAAAAAATAAAATATGTTTTAGTATTTATATAATAAATTTTTTAAAGGATCAATAAATAACTAAAAAAATAAGATTTCTAACTAAAAATATATATATTTTTTAAAAAAATCCTATTAATTTTACTAGGTTATCCAGGTTAAGGGTTAACTGAATGCTACTAGATTTTTATTTATACCCGTTTTTGAAAAAACTGGACCAATCAAATTCGTTCAAATTTAATAACTATGATTTTTTTCTCAAGATAAAATATTTTATTGAAAAACAAACAAACAAGTCCTTCTGTTTTCATATTCGATTATTGGGTCCATATATCTTGAACAATAAGTCAGAGAATGTAATAATATTAATAGTAATTGTAATAATAAAAGAGGAGAAAGAGGAGGAGGAGACTCGTGTCCTCGTTCCTTCCAGAATCATCCACAATAATAGAATTTCTCTCCCGAACCTTCTTTCTAGCACCTTCCACCATCCATATAAAATCCACGCCTCACCTCTCCTTCTTCATCAGGTTGAAATCAGAAGCTAGCAAAACAAAACAATACAAATACTAAAAATCTCCATCCGTTTTGTTTCCCAAGTACAACATCAAACCATCAATGGCTTCCTCCCTGGCTCTCAAGAGACTAGTCTCCTCTAGCATCATCCCTAACAGCTCTTCTCTTCGTTCCATTCTCCGCCCGGTAGCCACCTGTCCTTCTTCTTCTCGCCTTTTCAACACCAATGCCCTCAGAGACTATAACGATGATCATGAAAGCGGCCGTGGGATTGATGATCGCCCCTCCCATCGCTCTGTTGCACGCAGCCGTGATGACTTTCTCTCAGGTAGTTGTCTTTTCGTTCCTCTCTAACAGATTTGATACACACCGCTTCTGCATGTGCCTCTGAATTTCATATTTATAATGACATGTTTCCTTCTAATTTCATTTTTTTGGCTAGATATTAGTAATCTGTTAAAGAGGGTTTGAACCCTGGGTTCAAGTAATGAACAACTTATGTTTCAATTTGACATTGCAGACGTGTTTGATCCATTTTCACCGACGAGGAGTTTGTCCCAGGTCCTTAACATGATGGACCAATTCATGGAAAACCCACTTATCTCTGGCTCCCGTGCTGGTGGACTCCGCCGTGGATGGGATGCGCGGGAGACCGATGATGCTCTCAGTCTTCGAATTGATATGCCTGGTCTTGGCAAGGAGGATGTCAAGGTCTCCGTGGAGCAGAACAGTCTGGTAATTAAAGGGGAAGGAGCAAAGGAATCGGACGATGAAGAGAATGCGAGGAGGTACAGCAGCAGGATTGATTTGCCCGAGAACATGTACAAAACTGATGAAATAAAAGCCGAAATGAAAAATGGTGTTCTGAAGGTTGTGGTGCCTAAGGTGAAAGAAGAGGAGAGGGCTAATGTTTTCCACGTCAAGGTTGAGTAGGTTGCAGGGGAGTCTCTGTTAGTGGTAATGTTTCGAGTGAGCAAGAATACAGAGTTGAGAAATTTGGCTGCCAGTGGTTTGAACCAATTTGGATGCTACTGTTGTTTTTTCTATCAATGATAGTTCCGTTTTAGTCTAAACTCTTTCTGTTACTCTGCTTTGCTTAATCTTGCCTGTAATTTGTTTTGGTTAATAAAATTTAGACTGCATGTGAAAAAATTATTTTAATCTGATAATTTAATTATTTTACAGTATGCTTGCCTGGAATAATCAGGCAGAGTAGGCATTTCAAGCAAGAGTGGGGGGAGGTAATCGAGACTCTCCTCCTGCGGATCAGGGTGATGATTTTTGGCGAAACTTTTGATCTTTTATTTGGCCTCTTGGAATGTTCTTATTTATGCACGGTCGGCTTGCCTCGTTAGGAAACCAGGTTGGGTGGAGGAGTGCGTAGCGTTCTTTCTGGCTTTCCTCCGAATTTTACCTTTGAATTTTAAGTAATTTTCTATAAAATTTTATATCTTGGCTAGTATATTTTTATAAGATTTTATGTTGATTTTTATATGTGTAAATTAATTTTTGTGTGTATGTGTGTGTTGACTTTTGAGTAAATATTTAATTGTGTATAAAATTAATATTTAAAAACGAAGGTGTATTCAAACTATATTATTTTTTGAATTTATGTTATTTTTCTAAAATTTTATACAAATAGTGCCCTCTTTAAAAAAAAAAAGAAAAAAATTAAAGTCTAACGCTCCATCATGTTTAGCAACAAGGTTTCTTTCTTCTATTTTTTCTCCAAGCTTCAGTAACATTTTCTTCAAAAATAAAGGAAAAGAAAGTGCTGATGGCCTGGAATATATGCTACGTGACTAGGCCCATTTCACGTGTGGATCAAATAAGATGTTAATAAACTATGCACTGAGTGGGCCCAAAGAATGTCTGGGCACTGACAGGATTAAAAGGGAGCCTGGTGCCTTGGCAATAGGAGATCAGGCAAGATAAGAGCTCTGAGCTTTAAAGCTGTTCGCGCTCATCGTGCCCTGGTCCCCTCGTCATTATCTATAATGACAAACATATTAATACAAACAAACTGTATAGAGAGGCCTGGCTATTTCAATGTAAGAGTGGTTATTTTGCTCCTTCACGGAGAAAAAAAAGAAAAAGTTCTGGCTTTGGGAGTGAAATGGTTCTTTATAAGAATACAATGGCCACTGTTGATTGTATTTTTTTTTATCATATTAATCTTTTCAAAAAAAAAGTGAAAATACTATAATACTTTTAAAACCAAAAAATAACTTGCATTAAATGTTTAGTTTTTATCATTATTTGTTTGGTTGCATAGTGTAATTATTACCAAACCCGTATAACCAAAATCTTGTAGGCTACCATTGGAACGGTTTTTCCATCAATTCATTTTTTATTTACTTTTATATACAAAAATTATTAGGCAGCCATCTAATGATTTTTTGGGCCTTTTATCCTGGTTTTTTAATTGTACAAGATGTGAATGAGGGTTAGTTTGGTTTTTTTAGAGATTTAAAAATAATATAAAAAATATATCACTAGTATGAAAAAAATGTGTTTATGTGTAGGAAAGGGTTATTATATTCAAGCAACGCGTGTTTTATTTTTTGATGGATAAAAAGTTAGATTGTCATGTCACCAGCTTTGATGGATGGCAATGCATCATTGAGTTGACGTGTACATCATGGTTTTTAGTGACTTGGCAGTGTTTGGATTTTTTCTTCCCTATCTTTTCTCTCTTGTGGCCTCGGGATGCATACAGACCAGGCAAAAAATGAAATGTGTCCCTCCATTTTATTTTTATTTCAGTTACATCCGTCATTTTTAATTAACATTTAATTTATTTATTTATTTTTTTAATTTCATCCATTTAAATTAAATTTTATTTTATTTTTACATTAAATTTATTCCTTGATCTTTTAGTTGTTATTTTTATATTTTAATTTTTAATTTTTAAAATTTAATTTGATTTGATTTTTATATCAAATTTAATCATCGTTATTTTTATTATTATTTAGTTTTATCATTTAATTTTTTATTTAATTTAATTTTTATATTAAACCTAGTTCTCATTATTTGAATTGCTAATTTTTTATTATTTTTCTAATTAACATTTATTTTGCAATTTCAGCCATTTTTCTAATTATCATTTGTTTTATAATTTTATCTATCATCATTTTATCTATTTTTATATTGCTCTCATTCCTCAACATTTTTTTCCCCTTTCCATCTTTTTTTTAAATTAATTTTTTTACTATCGTTTTACTCATCAATATTTTACTGGTTTGTAAAGAAGTCAGAATACGGCGTTGCTCATCTTCTACACGCACACAAAGTCTTCTATATTTTACTGTGATACTCTATATATAAATACATATTTTTATACCATGTTGACACCACACTTCTAGCCAATGTTCATAATATAAAAACCACCATGTTTTTCCAAGTCTGCAACGCACTAGATGTAAAGCAGGCCGCCTATTTTCTTGCCAGTGGTTTTTTCATTGCCACCAGCCTCTCCAACAATAGCGAAGTCAGGCATGGAACTAATGGTGGACACCACCGTCTCCATCAATCATCAATATAACCCGCATGATGTCACGGGCAAATTTTTTAAATAAAAAATATTAAATTTTTTTGTAAAGTTAAATTAAAGAGTTTTAGGTTTAACTGCAATGTTAGACCTAAAAGTAATATTTATAATAATATTAAACTTGAAAAATCTAAGTTTAAACGGGTTTCGCTGCAATATCAAACTCAATAATCTTAGATATAGCTGCAAAGTTGTATTATAAAAATATGATACTTAAATAGATTAATTAAAAATAACAAAACAAATAAAAAAACAAACATGAAGAAAAAAATCTGAATTAACTGGGTTAACCCTTCAAATCTAAAATTCATGTCATGAAAGCCTGGTAACTAAATAGAAAAAAATTTAATAACAATAAACTAAATAAAAAAATATCAATCTTTTCATCGTGGATTGTATTGTGCAGTCCATAGTGAAAGACATAAAAAGAACAAAAAAAACTAAAGGCATTAGCTTTTTCATCGTGGACTGCATATAATATTAAAAGATGAAATCGTAAGAACAAAAATAATGACAAAATAAAAACAATCTGAATCAATCGGGTTAACCGGTCAAACATGAAATCCGTGTCATGAAAATATAATAATTAAATAGAAAAAATTTAATATTAAGAAACCAAATTAAAAGAATAATTACAAAACAAAAAAAAAACTAAAAACATCAGTTTTCCCATCGTGGACTGCATTGTGCAATCCACAGTAAAAGGCTTGGAAAGAAAAGGAAAAAGAAAACAAAACAAAAGCATACGCTACGGGTTATTTTTTTTCTTGCATAAAAAATATAAAAAAATATTAAAATCTAAGAGTGTTATGTATTTTTGCAGAGATATATCCTAGAGTCTTTGGTCTAGCTGCAACGCGTGACTCAAGAGTAATATTTATAATAATATTAAACTTACATTACTCAAGTTTAAGTGAGTGTAGTTGTAACACTGGACTCAGGAGCCTTGGATGTAGGGCTGGTTGCAATGTCGTGTCATAAAAGCATGGTAATTAAATAGACTAATCAAAAAACAAAAAAAAACCAATATGAAGAAAAAAACTAATGAAGAAAAAGAAAAAAATTTGAATCAACTGGCTTAATCATTTAAACCAAGTTAACCCGCCAAACTTTAGATTCGCGCCATGAAAGTTCCATAACTAAATAGAAAAAAAAAATGACGGGCTAACTCATAATTAACTGGGTTACCTGTCAAGCTTGAGATATGTTTTATGAAAATCTAATAATTAAATAGAAAGAAATTTAACATTAATAAACTAAGCTAAATAAAAAAATTAATTAAAAAGAAAAAAAGCAAAAAAAATAAAATTCCCTGTTAACTCGTCAAATCAGATTAACTTGTCAAACTCGGGATTTATTAACAAATTAAATTTAAAAAAAATATTAAAAAGAAAAAAACAAAAGAAACCATAAAGACATAAAAAACAAAAAAAATGAAAGCGAATATATATATATATATATATATATATATATTATAATATATAAGTATGATTAAAAGACATGGGGAAGCTACAACGCTTTTATATAGAGAAAAAAAACTAATGAAAAAAAATTTTGAATTAATTAAATCAACCCTTCAAATCAGGTTAACTGTCAAATTTTAGATTCGCGTCATGAAAGTTTTATAACTAAATAAAAAAAAAATTAACAAGTTAACCCATAATTAACCGGGTTAACTTGTCAAGTTTGAAATATATTTCATGAAAGTCTGATAATTAAATAAAAAAATTTAACATTATCGAACTAAACTAAATGAAAAAAATTGATTAAAAAAAGTAAAAAAAATGGCATAAAAAACAAAATAATAATAATAATAAATATTATAATAAATTATAATATAATATAATAATATAATTATCATTATAATAATAATTATTATTATTGTATAATAATTATTATATATATATTATATATAAGTATTATTAAAATGCGCGGGGAAGCTAAGTGATTTCCCCACGCGTTTTAGTATATTGTTAACAAAGAAAAATAGTCGGTAACAAAAATCTTACCTTCTCCGAAAGTATGAACAGTTGACGTAGATGCTGGACCTATTTGCCATTAATCTTAGCTCAAGCATCTTGTCCGCGAGCTACTGTTGAGCAACAAGACGACTTGTATCTTCACCCGAGACGTCAAAATATGTGGGCTCGCCGGCCAGTAAAAGTAAATCGTACACGACTTTCGTTTTCTTTATCCGGTATTATATCTGCTATCGCCGTGAAGACCGGGGGACCACTTTTCTTGAATGTCTGTTAAAAAGGGTCGTCAGTCACAGAATTTGATTGGCATAAATCCATGGCAAGAATGAAAACTTGTAGTTGCCGATAGAAGTAGCGGCCTGATTGCAAATTGAAAATCGAATTTAATGTCACTAGCACCGCTACCCCCATATGCGGTGCCAGGAAATTGAAAGCAAAAGCCTCGCTTTTGTCACTGTTTACCATTAGAACATCATGTAGTAAGCTAGAGAGCATTTGGCTCCGGCTTGTCCTTACCACGGTTGAAATCGGAGGGCATCGACACCGAGGAGAGAAACAAATTCAATCACGAGAAGATTCAATGAATGAATTCCTCTTTACTAGAGTATGAAAATAGAAAAAAATACCCGAAACCATCATCATTCATAGTGCTCTCAACTGATCACACCATCATGAAAAATCATCACACCTTCATGAAAAATCATCTATAATGCTTGGAGAGAAGCTCCAAGATCTCTTCACGTTCCGAATGGAAATACTTACAAACAAAAGGAGAGTTTCTCACAAATGGAGAATCCATGGTCTCTTATCCGTTGGCAGGGAAAAAAAGAGTTCCAACATCTCCTTCCTCCTCGAGACTGTGTTATAAAAAATAAAATTAAAAAAAAAATACTTTTAAAAAATAAAAATACCAAAGATCTTAATTCGTTTGCGTGCCTGAGTTGTTTCTAAAGAGGAACTGCTTGTACATGGCCCGATGTTTACTAGCCTTCCTCGCATTGTAAAAACAAAATGCCTTATCCTGCGTGCTGCGAAAATGACAAGCCATGCCTTTTTCTTTGTCTACTTTTTCATAGGTCATAGGTAGGCGCTTCGGGACACGACTCTCCAAGGTTCAGATCCCAAAGTGGATCAATCCGAATCTTTTTAAAAATAAAAAACAACAAAACAACCAATTATTTGGCCTTTACGTGTAAGAGCTAAGAACCCCCCCCTGTCCGGTATATGTACAGACGCCAGATGTGAATCCCATCTTAAATGGCCCAGCCTAGATTAAAAAAAAAAAACAATAAAACAATTAATTGTTTACTTTTTAAAATGTTTTTTAAAATATATTTAAATAATAATTTTTTTTTATTTTTTTAACATAAACACATCAAAATAATCTAAAAAAATTAATTTAAAACAAAACAAAACAAAATATTTTTAGCTTTTTCCAAAATTACTCCTAAAACACACGATAACGCAAAACAAGAAGCAAGGCAGCCCCCAATCGACATCGCCAAAAGCCAGAAAAACGGAAGTTTCTATGTTCTTTCTCAAATTCTGAAACAGGTTAGTGTCGGTCATCCACGTCCACCCCATCATCATGGACCCATCAATCTTGCCACGTCATAATGTCCGTACTCCCACTCATGACACCTGCAGCTGAGGAATAATTCCCTCCGGATATGCGAATATGCGCTCCCGCGGCTTCTTACCGATAAATTATGCTGGCTTGTGGAAGTACAAGAATAACCCTGCTGAGATTGTGAGAGCAGTATCGAAAGTTTATGCAGCTTGACTATTTTGCCCTTCTCTGCTACAACGTGAGGATTCTGGACCCGAGCTGATGGGGGCTGGAAAAGTCTGGATTTGGTGGGACCTCGTAAAACATGTCATGTTCGTAGGATGTCAAATCCTGTACTGGTAAAATATAAAATAAATCAAATATTCAATCTTATATTCTGGTAATTTCTGTGAACGGAATTCAGATTTTTTTAAAAAAGATTTTTTTATTTAAAATTAGTTTTTTTATATTTTAAAATTATTTTTATATGTTGATGATAAAAATAATTTTTTTAAAATAATTTTTTTTTTATTTTACTGCATTTTCTAAACAATTTTTTAACAAAAAACAGCTAGCATAATTTTTAAAACCAAGGTTTTTTGCAGGGTTACATTAATCCGATTCTCTCACCGTGTTTCTTTCCCCCCTCGATAGTCATTACAGTGTTAGTATTTTTGGGTTTAAGTCTTCCAGTCCCTCTTATCAGGAATCGGGTGAACTAAGTGTAGAGTTCCTTCACTTCTAAAGCTTCCCCTGCTTAGAAGAGATGAAGGAACGCATTTTGGCTCGCTAAGATCCAAAGTACTAGCAAATTTTGTCAAGGAGCAAAGTCATGTATTGGGTAAACAGCTCATCAGGAGCAAAGAAAAAGGGAGTGCACCTATGTGTCCTCAGCTAAGGTCGTACTTTCAGCAGCAGCTCAACTCCACGTTGATTATGACAGTGGAAGGGGTTTTTTTTTTTTTTTCTAGTGATAGTTATGGTTGTCAAAGTTTTTTTTTACTTAAAAATAATATATTTTTAATTTTAAAAAAATATTTTTAATATTAACATGTTAAAATGATAAAAAAAACTTAAAAAATCAGTTAAAAAATCAGTTTTTTAAAAACCCCACTTAAAATGCTGTACCGAATTAACACAAATATCCATGAGAGCTTGGGAAATGACAAGGTCATTGTAGGATGGGCTTGATGCTGAGCTTCAGCTGTTGACATTTTTATTATTTACCTTGCAAGGTTGACCATCTACCTTGCCACCTTTCAACGCAATTTATAGTGACAATTCTACAGTATCGCCCTTTCATATATTGTTCAGAATTTGATTGACACTGCCATTTATCAGCGGTACGAATTTTATTGTAGCTCGAGTACTCAAACCTAAACAATCTAGGTGCACTATTCTAATTATTTTTTAAAATATTTTTATATTAAAATATATTAAAACAATATTTTTTATTTTTTAAAAATTATTTTTAAGAATAATATATTAAAATAATTTAAAATATATAAAAAATTTTATTTTTAACAAAAAAAATTTATTTTTTAAAAACACAATTACACTGCTGGATACTGCACTGTTAATCGGAGGCCTAATTATCAAAGAGGAGGGCCCACGATACTAGACTTTTTCTATCATATTTTTACGTTACGGTAAGAATTTTAAATTTTTTTTTAAATTTTTTCAGATTTATCTTTGAGATCACATCAAAACAATTTAAAAAATTAAAAGGGTTAAAAATTAAAAGGGTTAATTTTAAGAAAAAAATCAAAAAATTTTAAAACAACAACCCTGCCGCAGAAATTATTAATACGCAATCCATTGTACTCGTGATGGTCTCAGGGAAACACATTTCTCTTTGAATGGCAATATTTATGGAGGGTGCCATTGCGTACAAGTCATCAGTTCTCTCAAGTCTCAAGCATCTTAGCTAGCCGTGTCTGTGTGGATTTAGGACTGAACAAGTGTTTGGGCTTCGACAGCAGCGATGTCGTTATAGGACACTCGAGAGTCGAGAGAGTGGGCCATCACAAAGAGCTCAAAGTCGAAGTAAAATCATGAGTTTAAGGCACTCTTTGTTTTTGGATCTTGGACTTCTTCTTTTGAATGGCTCTGAGAAACTCGAGAAGCGAGAGCTTTTGAAAAAGCTGAAACTCAACCGAATATAAAAATATCAGAAAGAGT